TGTAAAGCTAATGTTCTCCCATGTAAACTATCACATAATTCACAATAAAACATTTTTTAAAATAATAAGCAAATAGATAAAGCATTATTAGACATAAAAAATATATATATAAATATATTACATCAACCACAACCCTCTCTACTCCGCTGGGTTCAGTAATTCATTGTAATGGCCACACAAAACTCAGAGACAATACTCACAGTTATGGGACTTATTAAGGAAGTTAACAGGTTATAATACAGAATAATACCGTGTCTGAGCACAGTTGTTCCAGTCAGTTTCTGATAAATGCCCACAGGACACACTACTCTACCATAAGCCTTAACCTGAAGACACTCGGCTCTTACTCTGTGGCTCAGCAAACCTAGCTCCCCAACTGTGCTTGGAGACTCCTCAGTCTACAAGAAAGCTTCCTGCCCAGAGTCACTCAGTTTTACTTTGCTCCATGGACTGGGAAGGCCCACCACTCTATCTCATGGTCTAGTTCTTGGTTCTGCTGCTATTGCTCCTCTGCCACTACCCCATTGTCACAGCTTTCTCTCCCTGGGGGGAGGAGGTTCAATGTGTAGGGATCTCAGGGTCCAAAGGCCATGCTCTTCTCCTGGCTCTTCTTCTTTGATGGTAATGAGTAAGACTCCTCCCACCCCCTCCTGCTTCTGAGGCCACTCATTTTAAACCCATACAATTACAGTTAACTCTGTTAACATCCACAGCTGTATCATACCATCCTATCAGTATCTTCTCCCACCTTCTCTTATCCAGACCCAGCAGGGCAGAAATGTTGTTTGGTAGAAGTTTGCTATATGGCTAGAGGAGACCTTAGAAAATTCACTACCCAACACGTTGTTTCCACCTTTTGGCTCCTGTGAATAATGCTGTAAAAAACACTGGCGGACAAGTGTCTGTTTTCATCCCTGCTTTCAATTCCTTGGGGCATACACGAGGAGTAGAATTATTGGATCATATGATAATTCTGTAGGGTCACTATGAATCAGAATGGACTAAGTCTAGCCAGTGTATATTTCAAAGATGGCAGTGGTTTTTGTTTTGTTTTGTTTTTTTATAGCAATTCTGTGTTTAGAATTCTTTTGGGGGAAC